TCACTCCCTAATTTTTTAACAGCTCCGCACTCCAGCTAATAGAAAATGTAATTCATCACCATGGCATTCAAAAGGGCAGCAGGATCTGGTTCTTGCCTGTCTACAACCTTATCTCACAGCACACTCCCTCTAACTCAGTAAGCTCTGGCCACATTGCTCAGTGTGTTAAACACCCATGTTCTTTCCCACATTAAAGCTTTTGCACTTGCTGTCCCCTCCACCTGAACACACACTCCAACCCACTCTTCTGTCCCATGGCCAACTGCTTCTCATCCTTCCTGTTTCGACCCAGCTGTTATTTCCACAGAAGCCTGCTCTGACAACCATCCCTGAAAAGGTCCTAATCGCCTATTCTGCCCTGTAGGTGCTCTTCTCAGCAATTCACTTTCTGTTTCTTTTTAAGACCTATCTTCCACACTGGAAGGCTAAACTACAAGAGAGTATTAAAATGACCCAAAATTACACAACTATAGTACACATGGAGAAGCCACATGGAGACTGGTAGGAGGAACGGAGGGTTGGAATAGGCTGGTCCCACACACACCTGTGTCAGATAAAAATCTGGAAGATATGTTGGCTGTGGAGGTAGCCCTCTGAGAAGTGAGGGGTCCCAGTCCCACACGAGAGCCATACACCTGGCTCACACTGTTTGCCCCACCCTGGTGGTTCCCTGAAAACAGGCCCCATCCAACTTTCAGGGCCCACCCAAGCTGTTCCCAATGGCTTTAACATAGGACTGGCCTGTCTTGGCTCATGCTTCAGATTTTCCTAAAATCTCTCAAATAAGCACCATCTGGCCTCAGCCAGCCCCATGCCTCTAGCTATGTGGCCCAGGCCTGGAACTAGCAGCAGCCGGGCTTGGTTCACAGCTTGGCCTCGCCTGGATACCACCAAACCTAGCATGAGAAGCACCCAATGCAGATGGCTTTGTAGTTTATTCTTTGTGGGCCCAGGCAGAACACAGGTGGTGGCTGACATATATTGCCTTCCTTACAATGTCAAATGTATAGAGTAAAATTTTCCAGAGACTAAATGACATGTTATATTCTAACAGATTGAATCTATAAATATATATGAGAATCCAGCTGTCAACTAATAATCTAGACATTAAAATAAGTTTAAAAATTTAAAACACAGTAGCTGTTCTTAATATTTGTTTTTGTTTTTGAAAATAGTTATTTTATATTAAAAATATTCATATGAACAAGTATTGGATGCATTATTGTTACTTTAAAATGAATTAATATAGCTTTTAAAAATTCTCAGTCTTACTTTCTAACAAGAAAATCATTGATCATTATTTGCTGATGAGCTGCCGGAGTCCATTCATTGTCTTTACTAGCTGGGTTTGGACAGAGACCCCCCAGAGAAGGCTGGTAACCTTTGAGGTTCTAGTGGAGGTCAGAACTGTGAACTACCCAGTTAGTTTGAGTGGTGATGGTTGAAGCATCTCCACCTTAGTTCACTTAATTAGATCTTTGTTGATTATTGTTGATCAGATACTCCTGGAGATCTGTTGATGAGTTAATCAGGTACTCTGCCTATTCCTGAAAATTGTCTGCTGATGTGTGTCATTAAAACCTCTTTACCCTAAGGGCTACTCCAGATGAATAAAAGCTTGGTGAGACCTGAGCAAAGGGGGAGAAGGAAGTCTTTCGGGAGGAGGAAGTCTTTCCGGACTTGCCCGCCTGGTCCCCCGGTATTGCAAAATTATCTTGTGTCTTTTTCTTTCATTTGTTGTGCGGCTCCTCTTTCAGATACCGAACCCTACTCCACGCGGGTCGTGGAAGGAATCACTCAGCATCTGGTGCCCGAACGTGGAGGGAGTGTTACTCAGCGCTGCCACTTGGTCATTATTACCCATCTTCAACAAATATCTCATGAGCAATCTTGTTTCCTCGTCACCTCTATCCATTATAGTCCCCACATGAAATTACTTTCAGGAAAATCTCAGG